TTAATCTGAAATTTTTCCATTAATTTTATGATTAACTGATTATTAAAATGAGTTTCTCTATTAGATAGGATCTTCTGAGGGCATCTATGTCAACATATGATATCTTCATAAATAAAATTAGCAACTTGTTCTGTAATAGCTTTTGATAAGGCTCTAGTCTCAGGTCATTTAGTCATATAATCCATTGCTGTTACAATATATTTATTTTTCCTTTCTGTGACAGGTAAAGGTCCTATAATATCAATTCAAATCCTATAGAATGGGTTTCCTGTATCTATTAGATGTAATGGTTCTGTTCATTTATATTTTCTCCTTCTTTGACAAGAATCACATTTTTGTACATATTCTCATATACTTTCATACATTTGAGACTAATAATATTGCGTTTTAATCTTGTCAAATATAATATCTGTTGATAAATGTTCACCTAAAGGATCATTATGTGTCATATATAATAAAGCATCTAATTTATTTACTTTTATTACTCTCAATAGTCGTTTAGGAGTAATAGTTTTGACTTTATATAAAATATCAAATTTAATAATATAATTCTTTGATTGTCGCTTGATTCTTTATTTTTCTATTGTATTTAAAGTAAGTGGTAATAATTCTGTTTTTAAATAATTAAAGATGTTGATATAATATATGTTATCCATTTTGTTGTAAAGCTGTCTATCACAATGTAAACACTTTTGCTTTCACTCTAATTATTATTTTAATAAAATCGATTTTTAGTACAAAGGAACTTCATCAAGAAGTTCTCCAAATAAATTTTCTAATAAAATATCATTATTTTGTTGCTGTACTGCTAATAGTTCTTCCCAGAATACATTATTGCAAAGGTAATTAGAGTTCATGTCAGGTTGTATTTGTCCTAGTCTATATCTTATGATACAATTATAAATAACTGTCCTATAAGGTAAATTCTTTTTACAGGCTTTACAGTAGGTATAAATATGATGATTCTCAGTGTTGCAGTTGAAAGTATATTGTGATCCTCCTTTTGTAATAGGTTGTCCTGCAATTACTTATTTTACTTTAATATATTTGCAATAGATATCTTCTAATTCATCCTTAGGCGATTGATATCCAATAGTTGTAATCAATGGTTTATTTGCAAATTGTTAATGTAATTATTCCTTAAACCATAATTCTTCATAGTTAAAAGTTGAATTTTCTTTTGTTGAAGAATGCTATTTAATTTCAGATTCTTCATCACAGATAGATATCATAAAGATTTCATGAACATCTTCTTCCTCTTCAGGTTGTTTATCATTTATTCTTGATAGAGCATTAGCATTTGTATTATGTTTTCCTAGTCTATGTTGAATAGTGTAGTTATAAGGTTGTAATTCAATCATCTATCTGGTATGTCATCCTTTTGGTATTTTCAATATTTGCAACCATTTTAATACTGAATGGTCTGTGACTAATTCAAATTTAGTTATATATAAATAATGATAAAGTGTTGGATAGCCTAAATGATTGCTAAACATTCTTGATCTATGACTGAATAATTTTTTTCTGCTGAAGTTAAACTTCTACTTGAATAGGCAATGGAGTGTTCTCTTCTCTTCTTATCTTTTTGTGCTAGTACCGCTCCTAAACCTATCCCTGATACATCAGTATATAAATAGAAGGTTTCATCAAAATTTGGGTATTGTAGAAATGATGCATTAATTAAACAATTCTTTAAACGGTTGAATGCGTTTTATTGTTTTTCAGTCCACTTAAATGTTTGGTCTTTCTTTAATAAAGTATTAATAGGTTTTGCAATTTGTGAAAAGTCTTTAATAAATTTTCTATAGTAAGAAAATAATTCTAGAGCTGATTGAACTTGAGATACATCTTTTGGTATTGATAAATCTTTTACTTTTTCAATCTTAGCTGGATCTGGTTGAATACCATCTCTTCCAACTATGTATCATAGGAATGTTAAATTAGGCATGCTGAAACTACATTTCTTCAATTTAATTTTTAAATTAGCTTTTCTCAATGCTTGAAAGACTTGTTTAATATGATTGATATGTTGTTCAAAAGATTTTGAATAAATTATGATATCGTCTAAATATACTGAGACAAATTTAGCTACATAAGGTTGTAGAACATAATTCATAAGCCTATAAAAAGTTTCTGGAGCATTACATAATCCAAAGGGCATTACATTAAATTCATATAATCCAAAATTGGTAATAAAAGCAATCTTTTTCTTATCTTTTTCTTTCATTTCAACTTGCCAATAACCACTAGCTAAATCCAAAGTGGTAAACCAATTTGCTGTTCTAAATAATTCTAACATATCATTGATCCTAGATAAAGGATAAGCATCTTTCTTTGTTACTGCATTTAATTTTTTGTAATCAACACAAATTCTTTTATCTCCAGTTTTCTTTGCTACAATTACAACTGGTAAAGCCTACAGGCTCTTTGATTTTCTTATAATACCTTTCTTTTCCATATCTTCAATTTCTTGATACAAGAACTGTTGATTATCTGGGCTGCATCTATATACTGTTTATGCTATCGGTACATCTTTTTCTAGAATTATAGAATGTTTAATAATGGCAGTTCATCCTGTATCTGTCTGGCTTTCAGCGCATAAATCACTATTTTTCTCGAGAGCTTGTTGGAAAGTATTTTGTTGATGAGCATTTAATAGTCCAACCTGTAGCTTAAGTTTCTTTTGTTCTTCCTTTGATAGATCAGCTAAATATACGCTTAGATATTTATTTTATATACTCTTTTGTGAATTTCTTTCATGATTTTGTTTACATATTTGGTATGGGTAGAGGTCGTCTCTCCTTATTCTGCCATATCTGCATATTCTCTGAAACAAAATGGTCACCATTCTCCTTGTTTTTCTGGTTCAGTTCACTCAAGAATCCATTCTAGTGTTATTCTGATAATATATACGTTACAGTCATAGAAGTTATTATTAAAAAGATATTCTACACATTCAGATTCTATTGGAATACCTGTTTCATAAGTTTTTCTTAATACAGCTTCAAGTGATATTTCATTAGGTTCAACCTTGCCACCTGATACTTGCCACATTTTGTACATTTCTTTTCGCAGATTGATTCTCTGTAATATTATAATATTCTGATGATCGTACATAATATTCATTACATACTTTAGTTAGAAATTATTTTCGACTTCACTTAAAAATATGTTATATTCGTCTAAGTCTTCCTCTTTATATTCATCCAAAACTTGATCTAAGTTTTCTCTTTCATTTACCATTCCTTCTTCGAAAAGAATATTGAAGGTAGCTCTTCTAGTAACGTATGAAATAGAGGCTGTTTGTGTACTAAAATCAAGGTTCATTTTGGTTTTTTTTTTTTACTAATCTACTCCTAATAATAATGTATCTTGTGGAGATTCGATTACTTGAAGTTCTACTGGGACTGATACATGTTGTATGTTTATTCTTGTCTCAGTAATTTGTCCTAAAGCTCTCACACAGCTTCCATTTGCTGTAGTTACAATCAACTTAGAAGGTTTATCAATATCTAGTTCTAGCTTTTTTGCTAACTTATTGGTAATAATACCGACAGCTACTCCTGTATCAATTATAGCTTTAATAGGATTATTTTTAATCCTAATATATGCCTTGCAAGAAGTTGTTTTCTTTTCATGTTCATCATCTGAAAATTCTAATGTATTAATACTTGATATTGGTACTAAATATCATCTTAAGACGTTTGCTAAATTTCTTCTTTGAGCTGGTATTTGCAACCACTGTTCCAAAGTTGCAGAGGATTATCTTGAAAGAATGTCATCAGCTATATTGTATGATGCAAGATTATCAATTATTAAAGAATTTCATGCTCTTTTAACTGGCTTTTGTTTAGAAGTAGATTTCACTTTCATTTTAGTTGGATTAATAGTATAAGTTCTAAGATTCATTTCTTTATTTGACTCAGAGGTTTTAGTCATTTCTCTTTGTCATGCTCTTACATTCTTTCTATTAATATTATATGATCAGGACCTTTCTCCCACATATACTACAGATATTTCTTCTTTTTTTTCATTATCAGTAAAAACTTTGATTAAATTAGCATTTCTTTATTTTCTTTTTGTAGTTCTTTCTGATAAACATTCTCTAAAATAATAGCCTTTTTCATCACATCACTAGCAGATTACTTGACTTTTATCATAAGGTTTTCTATCATTATTATTTCTTGCAGCAGCATTTGCATTTTTGGGTGAGGTATTTATGGACTTTGGAGTTCCATTTTATGCTGCTAATACATTAACAATATTTGCGTAGTTGAGGGAAAGTTGTTCCATTTGTTTAGTCAAAACCTCAATCACATCATTATTCATAGCTTGTAGAGATTCTTTCATATAGTATGTTCTAGCTTCAGTTGCTCTGGCTTCATTGACAGCTGCTCTTAAATTGCCAGAGTCTGTCATTGCAACTCTTATTGTAATATTAGATTTTAATCCATTTAAGAATAAACTAATCTCGTATTCATTTAGCAGATAATCACCTAGATCAACTAATTTTCTAAGATTATTAAATCTTACACTATATGTATCTACACTTTTATTCACTAGTTGCTTAATATTAGACAATTCATAATGCCATTTATTCTTTTGCCTAGTTGTAGTAAAATGAGTTCTGAATATAGGGACAAAACTTATATTGGCTTATCCTTGCATATTTCAATAGTAAACATTTGCTGATATATTGTTATACTATAGTGCTGCTGATTCTCTTAAACAATACTTCGCTTTCTTTCAGGTGTCCAATTATTTGCTGTCGCAGCTGTTTTAAAATGTTTAAGCCATTCTTCTGGATCTTCGTTATTATTTCTCCAAAATGGTTGTACTGGTATGATATTGGTATTCTTTGGAAATGCTTATGGTCAAGCATCTCTAATCTTTTTAGCAATTCCTTTAAAAGAATTACTCATTTGTCTAATAATTGCTGCAATTCCATTATTATCTAAGACTTCATTATTTCTATTCCCATAGTTTTCATTATCATTTTCCTATTCTTCATCAAAACCACTTTGATGTTTTTCAGTAGATGATCTTAATCCACTTTGTTGACTAGTATTTTTATTTTTATCTTCTCCTGTAATAATGTTGATTGGTGTCAGAGTAAGGCTTATTACTAAAGGTGCTATTGAATCAAATTGAGTTTTGACCAATTCTTTAAAGAAATTTGATTCTTTTGCCACTTTAATTACACTTAAAGTTACAAAATCTGAATTTGGTTCAAGTACTTTAGGGTTGATAAAGGTTAAACTATACAGTAGTTTTTCAACTCTAATTTGTAATAGTTTATGATATGCTGAGGTAGTAGTATCAAGTTGTAGTTGTTCAAGAAAGATTAAAGTGGTAAGTTTTTCAATAGTTGGTCAAATAAAGATATAGTTTTTCCAGTAAATATAATCACTCTAAACTCTATGCTAATCCAATTCCAAAAATTTCTAAAATTCTTAAGAAGATATTCTGGTATTGGATGACAACTTAAACAAGTATAGTCAGTTGATAAGGTTGTTTGTTCTCTGCTATGTTATTCAACGTATGCTTCTTGAAGTTTGTAATATAAATCTAAATTCATTCACAATTTAACTTTTAAGAGACTTTCTCCTAGCAGGAATCACCAAACTGTTAGACCTGGAATCATTTCAAACTAAGCTAACAAAATCAATAAATTCAATATCACAATTATCTCAAAGGTCTTTCCTAAGAGAAATTAACGATTAACAAACAAAACAATTTATTATCATGATTTACTTGTGTAGTAGGTTATCATGATCAATCCTATGATAAAGATAAGAAGAAAGTTGAAAGTGTAAAATAGTAACTTTATTAAACTGGTAGAATTATAAGTCTAGTTCCAAGACTTATCTCAATCCTTGAGCAAAACTCTATCGATTCAAGGTTAATTTACAGGTCTATTTATATAAAATTGCTAACTAGTACTATACTACGCTTTTTGATAAGTATAAATAATACATATAATGAAAACCAAATAATATAATATAAATAATAAAAAGAAGACTATATACCGTATACTCTTGAAAATAAGCACCTCTTTTTTATTATAAGAGTGCTTATTTTTGAGAGATTTTTAAAATTTTTTTAAATTGTATGACAATCTTGTGAGATTGAATGATGATCCTTAATAATGAACTGCGCGTACTGCGCGTTTAAGTATAATGCGTATTCTGCACTTACTGCGTATAACCCTGTAACTTTATTTATAAATGGTAATGGTCAAACGTAGACGTAGTTCATATTCTATTAAACAAAAAAAAGAGGTTGTTACTTATGCAAAATAAGTGGGAAGAAATAAAGCAGCAAGTCATTTTGAACTTGATGCTAGTATGGTTGGAAAATGGATGAAAGCCAGTTCA